TATTTTGCAACTAACGAAAGGGAGAAGAAAGTATACAGTGAGCACCAGGAGCCCGAGGACCCAGCCCCTCCAGCCCTTGTCCCCTACTGTGGAGGCACTTCCCCTTCAGAGGCCTCCTGAACGTTCCCCGCCTCTGCACCTGGATTCAGCTCCCTACTTCCCCTCTATTCATCTTCCCAAGCCCATTCCGATGGCCGCAGACTTTCCTTGGCCTGGGTCTCTGGTGTGGGTCAAGACATCTGCTCCGGTTCCCCAGTCAGAAGACCATGGTCCTCCCTTGATGCTACCTCCCCAGGGGATGTAAACAAGGTGACATCACAGTTAGGCCTGTGACGTCACAGGGCATGGAGGCTGATGAGACAGAGGATCTGGGAGATGGGAGCAAGGAAGGGCTTGGCAGGTAGAGGCTGCTCCACGTGGAACCTGAGTGAGCCTGTCCTCAGCCCACCTCCTGGGACATTTCCTAGCCAAGCTAGGGAACTTTCAGGATTGGAGACCTGTAAATCTCCAAGGTCATTTCCTTTTCTATTTTTATTTTTTACCAAGAGGTTGTGCAAAGTGTTCTGAGAGTTGGGAGCAGAGTGTGATGTGGAGCTGGCCGATGGAAGCCAATGGTGTGTGGGGATGTGCCTTGGAGGGGAGGAATCTTCACTCGGTGCCCCTCACTTCTGTGCGGTTCCCAGCAAGACTGTAGGGCTGGCAGCCTTGTGGCCTGGGGGTCTGGGAAGGCTCTTGCTTTTGGGGAGTGGAGTTTTGGTGAACGAAGCCCCTCCATTAAGCTGAAGGATGCTGAGGGGCCACTGAGGATGGAGGGCAAGACCTGAGAACAGAATGTCAGAAGACCAAGCAAGAGAGGCAGAAATGAAGGGGTGGCTGTCGTCATGGGGGAAGCTGACATGGCCAAGAGATGGCAGAGTCTGAGGTGTGCCACTAAAGAGCTCTTGGCTACTTGCTGTGTGACTCTGGGTGAGTTGCTAATAATAGAATCCACCACACAGGCTTATTATGAAGACTAAATGAGATAAAGCTTATGAAGCCCCAGCACAGTACCAGACACAGCAAGAAAGCTGTTTTTAAAGGCAGCTATTTACTCTGATTCTTGGACAATTCCAAGAATTGTCCAAGCTGTTTTTATTATTTATTTATTTATTTATTTTTTTTGAGACAGAGTTTCACTCTTGTTACCCAGGCTGGAGTGCAATGGCGCGATCTCAGCTCACCGCAACCTCCGCCTCCTGGGTTCAGGCAATTCTCCTGCCTCAACCTCCTGAGTAGCTGGGATTACAGGCACGCGCCACCATGCCCAGCTAATTTTTGTATTTTTAGTAGAGACGGGGTTTCACCATGTTGATCAGGATGGTCTCGATCTCTTGACCTCGTGATCCACCCGCCTCGGCCTCCCAAAGTGCTGGGATTACAGGCGTGAGCCACCGCGCCAGGCCCCAAGCTGTTTTTAAAGGCAGCTATTTACTCTGATTCTTGGACAATTCCGTCGGAACCCTGTTACTTTATCTTCTATTCTGGGCATGCATAATGTAGAATTCTCGCTTGTAAGCTACAGAAACCATTTTAGGAGGATTTAAGCAGAATGAATTGATTTAAAAGATGTTAGAAAAGTTCACAGAAGGTCTGAGAAGGCTGGAGAGTGAGGCTTGAACCAGATCAAGGGAGGCTGGAAGTAGACAGGACCATGGCCAAATATCACACCCCGGACCAGCCCTGCGCAGACTCTGTAGCCTCCCCTGAACCCCCTTGTTTCCTCCACTGCCCTGGAAGCCAGATGTGGCAGCACAGCCTTTGCTATAGAGAGGATTCTCCACAGACCTGCCATCTCAGCGGTTTTTTTTTTTTTTTTTTTTTTTAGACAGAGTTTAGCTCTTGTTGCCCAAGCTGGAGTGCAGCAGAGCCATCTCAGCTCACTGCAACCTCTGCCTCCCGGGTTCAAGCAATTCTCCTGCCTCAGTCTCCTGAGTAGCTGGGAATGCAGGCACATGCCACCACGCCTGGCTAATTTTTGTAGAGATTGGGTTTCACCATGTTGGCCAGACTGGTCTCGAACTCCTGACCTTGAGTGATCTGCCTGTCTCAGCCTCCCAAAGTGCTGCGATTACAGGCATGAGCCACCATGCCGGCCTGTTTTTTTTTATTTTATTTTATTTTATTTTATTTTATTTTATTTTAAGAGACAGGGTTTTTCTCTGTTACCCAGGCTAGAGTGCAGTGGTGCTATAGTAGTTCACTGTACCCTTAGATTCCTGGGCTCAAGTGATCCCCCTGCCTCAGCCTCCTGAGTAGCTGGGACCATAGGTGCAAGTCGCCATGCCCAGCTACGTTTTGTAGTTTTTGTAGAGATGAGATATTGCTTTGTTGCCCAGGCTGGTCTCAAACTCCTGGGCTCAAGAGATGTGGCTGCCTTGGTCTCCTGAATTGCTGAGATTACAAGTGTGAGACACTGTACCTGGCCATGTCCTTGAATTTATCTTTTGCCTCTTGGGGCCTCTAGATTAGAAGATAGAACTTTCCAGGGTCAGGAGATCTGAGATGGGACCAGAAGGAGAAAAACGTGTTTGCTGTATCTCTGTGAGATCAGGGGCCTGCTCTGTTCTCTGTCTCATTCCATATCCTTCTATGTTGCCTGTTCTTGTCTTTGCCTGTTCCTGTCCCTACCAGTCACCATCACTGTCTCTCTGTCATCATCAATGCCTGTCTCCATCTCAGCTTGCCTCCCCTCCACAGAAGCCCCCCTCTGTCCAGCCTTTGAACCCTACTCTGTCCTTCTGCCCAGCCATCTGGGTTCTTAGAGAACAGAAATAACAGCCTTCCACCCCCTCACATACACATCCTGAAATTCCAGTAGCCCCAGTTCATTGCAATCCACACCAGAAGGTTGTCCTCCAGAGTTGCCACAAGTAGGCAAAGCTGAGCGGATAGTGCCCCCGTGTCAGGACTTGCAGGGCCCCCAGGCCTGCCTGCCCCCACTTCCTATCTGTGGCAACTTCAAATGTAACACCTTCCTGCCATCTCTCACTCCCACCGGGGCCTCAGCCACAGGCAGCTGTTGCCTGGCTGCCCACCTCCTTCCTTCCCAGCCAGGAGCACTGCTGCAGCACCAGTGGAGAGCCCCACAGCCAGCGGCCCTTCGGGGGCCACGGTATTTGCTTTGAGACCTGAAGCAGCATTGGGAGGAGTGAGAAAAGAGGGAAAGGAGAAGGGGTTTTGGAGAGATGAGACACTGGAGTGAGGGTTTTAGGGTCTGAGGGGCGTTTGGGGTTAAAAGGGTAATCCCTGGGGGGACGGGGAAGGGGTGTTAGGTCATTCACTGGGTTGAGGTGATCCCTGTGCTGTGTGGCCTCACATGGAAGATGGCAGAGAAGCCTGGTGCTGTGTGAGCCGACTGCTGGGCACTCCTGTCTTTCTGTTGGGCCAGTCGGGCATCCAGGGCCTTTGTCCACTCACTCAGGCTTTATCCCAGGTGACAGCGTTGAGCTGGCCAGCCTGGGTGACAGGACACTGGTGCCCTCAGCTGTCCAGAAGAGCCGTCTGGGTGAGCAATATTCTCTGTGGTGGGGGAGCCTCTGGTTGGTAGAGTCAGGGACCCTTCTCAGCACAGAGTGGGTGGCTTCTCTGCAGCCCTGAAGAATCTGGAATGTTCCCTCAGATCCCTGCACTCATGTGGAAGTAACCTCCATGAGGATCTTCCTTTCTTCTCTCAAGACAGCTCTGCTCCTCACCTCTGATTGGCTAACCTCCATTGATTGGTTGATTGATTGATTGAGACGGGGTCTTGCTCTGTCATCGCCCAGGCTAGAGTGTAGTGGTGTGATCTCAGCTTACTGCAGCCGCAACCTTCCAGGCTCAAGCAATCTTCCTGCCTCAGCCTCCTGAGTAACTGGGACCACAGGCCCAGGCTACTACACTCAGCTTATTTACTTTTTGCATTTACTATTTTTTTACTTAAAATTTTTTTTAAAGACTAGTCAAGTGCAGTAGTGAGAAGGGGGGAAAGAGTAGAACAAGGAGTTTGATCTGTGACTGACTGTGAACAATCAATTGAGATAACTCACTACCTTCGGACCAGCTTATTTATTTATTTTTGAGACTGAGTCTTACTCTGTTGCCAGGCTGGAGTACAGTGGCGAGATCTTGGCTCACTGCAACGTCTACCTCCCAGGTTCAAGTGATTCTTGTGCCTCAGCCTCCTGAGTATCTGGGACTACAGGCGTGTGCCACCATGCTCAGCTAATTTTTGTATTTTTAGTAGAGAC